ACTTGAAGGTTTCCTTGCCTCAAGTACCACACCACGTTGAAGGATACAACTTTTGATCAAACTTACTGATTGAAAGGGGGTAGGTCAACTTTCTTACAAGTTGGTCTTGCAAGTCCTATTGTTCGGACCTTGCAGTTGTTGAAGAAGCGTGACCTTCGAAGGAACAACAAAGCCAGCACGAGTGCAGTAGCAACATTGGCCTTGCGAAGATATACCGTGTAGAAATTCACACAAGTGTAATTGTTGGTTCATTATTCAACAACCAACTACATAGTGGATTTTGAGGACGTAGAAGGATTACCCCACCTTCGAACCTCGTTAAAGTTTGCGTGTCTCTCTCTTTTATCTTTATTCTTACTTGCAAATATATTAACTGAGAAAACTAACCCATCCATATTGATTACTGCTCACTCTACCCACCAACTTCCGCACATAATCTAAAGTTCCCAAGAACTCTAGATTAACACTCATTTTCACGTTTTCAAAAGAAAAAAAAGGGTTTTTAAATTTGTAACAAAGTCTATTCACCCCCCCTCTAGACTTTGTATCTCACCACTTCGGGACCACCAATATAATTCTAGGAATGCAATTAAGAGTTTACATTAGCATGAGATGTTTGTAAGGGATGATCCATAAATAGTATGTATGTGTATCATTTGAATATTGAATATTAACTTTGATGAATGATTGTAATGATAGTGGATATATGCACAGGTCAACCAAAATGAAGAATGCGTGATCGATAATGTTTTGGGAGAGGCCCCAGCTTTAAGAAGTGTGAGTATAATAGTTCTCTGATTCATTTATTTTATGCATTCTGACTAATTTTTATGGTGTTAAAATGCGCATTATATATTTGAGTTCATATAAATATGTACTGAAACTGCTATATTAATGATGTTTAGGAGCTGGAAAAGCACAATGAACAGCAGAAACCCGCTAGGGTAATTAAACCAGCCGGATCTCTACGGTCTCCGTACGTGACAAAAGCAGTGGACTTAAATGATGGTTTGAGTACTGTGGAAAAGAGATTGGGAAGATAGATCTTTAAAAACAATAGTGCTCGAAGGTATGATGTTAAAAAAGGGGGCAAATGACGTTTTTGTGTCTAAATATGTAATAGCTACTTGTTTATATCTTCATTGTTCTTGATTTTCACAAGGAGGAAATTGTTTTTAAGAAGGGTAAGTTTTGGTTAAGTAGAGAAGATATTTGTAGTCTGGACATAATGAAACACATTTCAAAGAAGGTGTTGGATGCATGGTGTGTGATTTTAAATCTTCGTGAGAAGTATCGAAGCGATACCTCACCACTACGGTTGTTTGCATAAACACTTGATTTTGTAAGTGTTAAGACACTTTTAAAATGTTACAACTTAGAAGTTATTGTATTCATTTAATTTACTGACTTTGACAACTATGATATGAAGGTTGAGAATGGTGGTCATGAAGATAATTCGTTGGAAACTACGAGAATGATGTTCAAGGAAGCAATGAAAGCTGCTTGGGATGATGCAGAGGATAGCTTTAATTGGGGGAAACCAGAATTGTTAAGAGACATTGACGCAATTTGAAAACTTAGTTACCACTAACTATAATTAAGCATGGTTTATAAATGTTTATTGGATCTGGAACTGCATATTATTATGGGTATAGTATTTAATAAAGTGATAATAATTGATTTCCCTAAAATGCAGTTCTTTTTCCCCATAATGCAAACAAACTGGTGTTATGTGTTGTGTGTGGACCTGAAAGGCAGGAGGTGTGACATTCTAGACAGTTCATTTGCAAAAGCCAAGAAGGAGGAGAGATATGAAGAAATGCCATCACTAGTGGTAAGTATGCGTGATCCGAATTTAATGATGTGCTGAATTGGATAATTCGCTGAATTTCTTTCGATACGTTTTGCGTTGTGATAGCTGAAGATGTTGGCCGATTTCTTGGAGCAACAAGAATTTAGAAACAAGGCAGCCTTTATACATGAACTTAAACCTGAAAGAATTGGGCTACCTTGGAGCGATGCAAAGCAAGTGTATGAGTACGGGGTGGCAACAATACGTCACATGGAGACCTACAAGGGAGATGGTGCGAAGGGATGGGATTGTGGTCTGTCGAAGCTAAATCACAAGCCGCATTTGGTCCTGCGTATGATGTACTGTGCAGCAATTTTACTTCACGAGGTGAATGAGATGATGGAGATGGTAGCGAACGAGTCTTTTAAAAATGATAAGGTGGTTAAGGGGAAGAATCTTGAGTGAAAAAATATTCTGATGCTCTGCCTGAATATTTGTTCCACGGGGTGTTTTTTGGTATTTTGAGAACATATAGTTTGATTGTTTTTGGTTGATTTGTTTTTTGGGGGAGGAGCCATTCCTTCACATGACGTGCAAAGGATGACATTGACGTGTGCATGCGTTGATAGTTTTAGGATGATCTGGTTTACGTGAATGATGTGTTTAATGCCCTGAATTATGCACTACACTTGGTAGTTCTGGACACCTGAGCAGCGTGTTTATGACCTTCACGACTTCATAAAATATATTTCCATACATTTACACCATCTAGAGACTTTCTAGACGTACCCAAGCGGATGTTAAAATGTGCCAACAACCCGTAGTCCCTGTAGATTGAAATTCCGTCTTCAAGCTTCTCAAAAACCATACCCACTTTGGGCTTTGATGCTGGTGGGCATTCTGGGATGCAGATATTTGGATCAAAAACTGACATTTCTTCATAAAAGAGATGAGGGGAAAGATCTATTGCATTCTCTTCCACAAATGTATTGGTATTTTCCCCTAAGCATAAAAAGGAAAAAATTGTCCAAAAACGGGAGGAGTTAACATTGAAGACTAGATAGACATTTCATATAATACGAGTGAAGAACGGGGAGTATAAATAATTTCCAAGCAATTATAATACTGAATCGAGTGAATTGAATTGCTCGGCTTGTACCTGCGCCATGGTTGAAGGCTCCGTGATTTCAACGAAGACTTACTGTGGTATACTTATCCCCGATTTGTGTTTGCCCTTTCTTCCCTCGATTTGTGTTTGCCCTTTTGGGGGAGGAGCCATTCCTTCACATGACGTGCAAAGGATGACATTGACATGTGCATGCGTTGATAGTTTTAGGATGATCTGGTTTACGTGAATGATGTGTTTAATGCCCTGAATTATGCACTACACTTGGTAGTTCTTGCAATGTCCTTGTATTTTATTTTTAATGCAACAGTGGAGTTCATGCTAGTAGAAATTGGTGATATGTTTACTTGGGGCTATCTAATAATTGGTTGATTTTGGTGAATAAGACATTCATACAGACTGATTACACTCAGCGAGTTATTTGGTAAATATGTAATGTCATAAGGTGTATATGCATTAAGTAGTGACCTAATACATAAAGTTAGTTGCAGATTTCATTTTTATACGTCAACATTTATTACGTATGATGATGCTAGTTGGTGAGTGTCATGTACAGAAATGCATAGGACATTCGTCAAGTTTTTGTAAAGGAATGTTACGCCTCTGGAAAAAAATAACATATAGTGAATACTTGTGTAACCGGGAATGAAACCAATGATGTGTGACGTATTTCAAGAGTTCAAGGTGACAAAGTTTGTGTTTCAAATCGTGGTGTCTCATTATCATTTTAAAAGATTTTAAAGGGCATATGTGCAAATTCTAGTGTATTTAGTGAGAATTGCGAAATGTGATATAGTAATAACGGGTCAGTGTGTTGTGAACTGTTAAAAATGTTAAGAGGGGTGAGTTGTGCATGAAGATTAAAGACTACATTGAGATTTAAAAAGAAATATAAAGTTGTACAATGTAGCATCCAGTAATATGATCATCAAAGCTCTTTAATCATTGGGTAGTTTCGACTGTCATGGTAACCAACTTCTTTGCACGTTCGACATACTCTCTTTTGTTTCTTGGACTGCTCAATGCTTATTTCCATGGCACTTTTGATCCACTTTCCACTACCCTTGTTATGCACCTTCTCGGGGGGTAAAACACGAATCTCGGATGGTGCTAGTGTGCCGTAGTAAGATTCAAAAATCTTGTTCTTTTCAGATTCTGTTTCTCCGGAATAGGCCAATCTCTCGAGATTTTGTTTCTGTGCTTTAATAACTTCGCTAAATGCGTCTAACAACTCAGAATCATTCTCCGCAAGTGTGACACATGCATGGATGTTCGACCACAATTGGTTTATCTTCCATCTAATATTCTCTAGGTTTGAATCCTCCTCAATGTCACACGAGATAGATCCTAGCGAACATTTTGCATTGTCAATCTTACACCATCGCTTTGTAATGTAATTGTCAGGAATAGTGGGACATCCCATTGCTATAAGAACAAAAAATATATGCCTACAGAGAAGCCCAACACGCTGATAATTCTTGCATGAACACGATGCATATGACGTATCTGCAAAGTACATAACTGAGAACGTCATTCCTCTATTGTCCTTTATAGTGTAATGCAGTTTATCATGGGTGTTCTCCACGTGTGTGCTAAAACACGAGAAACAAGCATCACAAATCTCTTTCTGCGCATCATAAAATACAAGACTGAAATGGGGGTTAGAGAATTCCCTGAAAAAGCTATTATCACTCTCAGATCGTGAAGTTGTTTGTAGTAAACCAGCCATGAAAAGGTCCCTAAAATATGCAAGGATCCATGTTTGGCGAATTTTTAACAACTTAGCAAACTATTTGTGATTCACCAGATTGTAACTATGCATGACCTCATTCCACTTGTGCTCAAATTTGCATGGGTCAAGATAATGGCTCCAAATAACTTCATTCAATTGTGTGAGAAACATAGTAAGGAGATCTGTTGAATCGTAAACGTTGTAGAAGGAAGGAGATCTGGAAACACTTTTATGCCCCCCAGAGGATGTGATGATCTTAGATATATAAATGAAGATCGGACGGTGTGTATTTATTCTCAATTATTTCATTAGATTTTATTCTCACTTGAACCAACTTCGGTGTGTGTGTGTGTGCTTCCCGTGGTTCCCCCCTGTAGAGATGATCACAGGGTTGATTGGCGAACCACACCACCCGGGTTCGATCCTCTGAAAGGCAACTTTGGGGGGGGATTTTAAGGGAGTTAAGCGTGCTGGCCATGGAGTAGCAGAAATGATGGGTGACCCCCTGGGAAGTGTTTGCAGGTTATGGGGTTGGCCTTTGGATTGGGCTTTCATTGGGCTTCTTATAGTGGGCTATGTGCCTCGGGTGTTTAACAGGCCCCGGGGCAGTCACGAGTTTAACGGGCCTCGGCCCCCCTGCTTGTAACTTGTTGGAATGCATGAGTTCAACCCTTTCTGTGTTGTTTAGTGTTGACTCACAGGTTTTGATAATTGACAAACACAATTTATTCAAGTCAAGATTAAAGTGCTACAACGACAATCACGAAGACTTGAAGTGCCATTCCTTGAAGTATTCAAGAAGGTGCACAGGATTTTGTTGAAGTCCGAGATGTGTTCGGAGCGCCTAACGGAGTCCGAGATGTGTCGAGGCTTGTGGGATTCAAGTTCTCGAGTTGTAAACGGTTTGTTAAGCACCCGTAAGCTTAACGAAAGTAGTGGTAGCTTCGAGAGAGTCTCTCGGGGAATTGGACTAGCCACGAGGTGGTGAACCAGTATACATCGGTGTGTTCTTTGCCTTCTCTCTTTTATTTCCGCTGCACTTACGTTTATATTATTAATCCTGCGAAAATCGGTAATCATTCTCAACAACTCTATTCACCCCCCTCTAGAGTTGCACGCATTGTCTAACAATTGGTATCGGAGCGGGTATCTCTAACGCTCCTTGTGACGTTTGAGAAAATGATCAAATTTGTTTTGAGAATGTTGGACGCAGGGATAGGAGAAGGGCAATCCACCGTAAGGCCGCCATTTTTTGATGGAACAAATTACTCCTATTGGAAGGAGCGTATGAGAATTTTTGTTCAATCTAATAACTTCAAAATTTGGCTTGCTATCAAGAATGGAGATAGCTTGCCAATGAAGAAGATAGGCGATACACTCATCCCGAAGAACGATGATGAATATGATGAAGCCGATCTTAAGAAAAGGCTCAATTAAATGCCACCGCCATCAACTTCTTGTATTGTGTTGTCAACGCCAACGATTATCAAAAGATATCTCGTTGCCAAACCGCCAATCAAATGTGGAACAAGCTCATGATCACATACGAAGGTACGCCTCAAGTTCGTGAATCAAAAATTGATTTACTAACCCATGAATATGAGTTATTTGCTATGAAAGAGAACTAACTTGTGGAGGACATGTTTGGAAGATTTTCAAACATCGTCAACGACCTTGATATGCTTGGAAAGACACTCACCGACAAAGAGTTAGTGAGAAAAATTATGCGAAGTCTTACCAAGGAATGGGATTCGAAGGTTAACTCCATTTACGAAGGCCGAGATTACAACGTCATCACATACGACGGTCTTCGAGGTAACCTTATCACTTACAAAAAAAATCATCTTTCTCATACTCTTGACGTTAAGAAGAGAACGGGAATTGCTTTTAAAGCATCTTCTTCTCAAAAAGTAGAGATTGGTGATTCGGATTCGGATAGTGATAGTGATAGTGATTCTAGCACTTCCTGTGATATTTTGGTTGAATGTTTTAACGAGTTTCTGAAACATGAGCTAAATAAGAGCAAGAAGAAAAACATCCCAAAATGTCACAAGTGCGGAAAACTTGGCCATCGAAAATTTGAGTGCCCGAAACTCAAGAAGATGAGCAAACAAGATGAATTCGCATACTTTTCGTGGAAGTATGATGAACCTTCCAAAGACGATTGCCTCATCGCTCTTGAAGAACAAGATGGGTGGTCGGGTACGTGACACACCATGGAAGGCGTGCTTGAAGACTACAAATTTGTAGTGGATGCTCCAAGCACTTAGCCAAAGAGATTGCATCAAAGGGGAGTAAATTCTTTTTCTTAAATTAAGTGTTATCTTTGAGACTTATATGAATTTTTTTTGGGGAATATACATAGGACATTTGCATATAGCAAGGGGGAATTTTTGCTATATGTGTTAATCTTTTTGTATGTTTTTTTAAGGGGAGATATCATAATTTAAGGGGAAAGTATTTTATTTCCTAGAAATGCATGATTTTACGGGGAATGTGATTTTTCTTATTTGTTTAGAAATTTTTTTTCACTCCCCGGAATGCATGAATTCTTTTGCTGCATTATTTTTGATAATGCCAAAAGGGGGAAGAGTATAGGAGTATATGCCTTATTTTGTTATTTGTTAATAGCATATCCTCCATGTGTTTGTCATTATCAAAAAGGGGGAAATTGTTGGAATGCATGAGTTCAACCATTTCTATGTTGTTTAGTGTTGACTCACAGGTTTTGATAATTGACAAACACAATTT